TTGCTGATCCTTTGATCGGACACCCATCTGGCAAAGTCTCGTTTTTGCTGCCGTCACCTGCTTTTGTCCACCATCGATTCTACTGATTGTCCACCAGGGGCGTTCTGTTTGTATCGAGATTTCTGATCTACTTAGGTCCTTTTAATGGCTCTAGTGTTCCATTTTGATATTTAGATTACGTTCGATTACTGCCTATAGCTAGCTTGCATCACCGTCACAAATATTTGCGTATCAAGTGTTACACTTTTAAAGAAGTAGTTGCAGGACCTCGTTTTGCCTCACAACGTACTTTCGTGGAATTCAATGCAGTGTGAAAAAAATACCTATAAAGCCTAACGCTGCTGGTATTGGCTCTTACGGTGACCGACACGCTGATTGAAAGTTCCGAGTATAAATTATCGCACCTCCTGTGTAGTACTTCGCCGCCCCCGTCGTAGTGCGAGTATAATACAGAGATGTGCCAAATCCTCCCCAAACTACTTCACGATCTCGAGCAGAAAGCCCTTTACCGTCTCAACCAAAGGCCAAGTACACTTTCTGATGTGTCCACTTATAAATGGCGTGTTGCGGCCTTTAGTGCTATTACGAATAATAGTACACTAAAGAATGAATGAGCCAATAGGAAGGGGACTGCCGATATGAAAAGTAGAGAATGCTTGGAGTCTTGTGAATACTGAATCTCCAACATTAACAAGAATGATAACCTTATTGTACCTCCCTGACTCGTTAGTTAACTAATCTGCTTTATTTACTGATTGGCCTAGCGATTGATTGCTCACGCATACCACCAGCTCAAATGTCCTAAACAAGGGAAAAACACATAGCGAGAGTTTTTGAAATTTCATTCAAAAGGCGGAGTATAACTTTTAGTCATCCAATTATGTACACCTTTGACAGCCTTGACCGCGAAATGGACACCAACTTGAAATGGGCATGAACCAATAAGGTGAAGCAATCGATATAAGTGTGAAAAATGGGGTGTACAAGGACACAATTACAGGAAACCTATGGGGTCACGGGAAGATCTGGGTTCCACATCCTAATCACACACAAAGAATACGCGAATTAATGCAAAATATCCTCTTCAATTAATTTGTGCCCACCAAATAGGCAAAAATGGGGAGGTCTCCTGTTCACTTTACTAGTGGCTTGCCATTACGGGGTATGCATCCAGTCAATCAATAATTGTACAACGTAAGTCGATCAGAATCTCCACGGAGGCGCTTCATCAAGAACACGCACCAGGCATAGATTTTCAAGCGAATGACTTTGATAGCAAGGATAAATAGTTGAGAATGTGTAATATCAGAATTATACTGAAGGAAGTTCAGGTGGTGGTTCCGCAATGAAAGGCTCATTAATACACCAGAAGTAAGGAAATGCTTCCGAAATTAGTCATTTATTTTACGAAACATGTTATCGGAACATGGAGGCATGCGTGTAAACTCGCCACGGCCAATTCCGAGGGTGTAATTACATGAAGTCATTTAGCACGAGTGGGGCACGTGTCTTGGGGGATTCGACCTGAACATGCAAAGAGGTCAAGCAAGGATTGACATGCGTACTCTCGGGCCTGGCCATGAATATTTTGTCACAGGGAACGGAGCCCAACCGTGGGGTTGGCCGTTGACGGGGCCGTGGCAAGGCAAAAGGCATGTGGACATGCAATTTCACCGAGATTTTCTTAAACCTCGTCTTGGTACAAAACTGGATTAAACGGCTTAAATTTGAATTAAATCAGTCGAGCCAAAATTAGCACTCCTAACTGCCAGGAAAAAAGTTTGATTCGGGGCAACGTTCTCCGGCCCACTGTCTAAGAGGTTAAAAATAGCGGACCTGGGTAATTTTTTGATGCAATCCAATCCCTCATGCTCCACACTAGTCTGCGTAGTGTAATGCAAGTAGTCTTTTTGTTATTATTTTCGGTGATTTCGTGTGAGGCGGGCTGAATGATGGGTTGTTTGCTTCTCCGGAGAGACGTGCCGTTGGCACGAGCGAATGACAGTAAGGGGGCGAGGAGCTACGTCAGAAGCGCTAATGAGCAGCAGACGTATGATGTTGATGACGGCATCTTTCATGGATTTACTTGTCAGTGCAGAAAGGAAATGGCGCTGCCCACCTGTGGGGAGCGGAATCAACCCTGTAGGAGGAGAGTCGAGGTTGATAATGCCCAGTTAGGATGGTTGCAACTCGGCGACAAGCCCCCCCCCTTGAATCCCAATAGGCTGGGGAAGCGGAAGACGGACGGTCGACCGTCAGCGATCGCGCGTGAATGACTCACCCCTATTTTACATTGGTTACTGTTATCAGATGCCTGTCATCCGCACACAGAGTCATATGACTGGTGTGACGCTAAACAGGCAGACATGTCTGTTGTCTTGCCTATCTTCTCGGGATTTTTAGGGGCTTAATAAGTGTTTTGCAGCTATAAACTTAGCAAACCACTTTTTGACACGAAGCAAATTCAGCCCAAAGAGTAAATTGAAATAAATTAAACCGATTAGCATGTTCAGCTGATATTGATATCGGATTGACCAGATGAATTTAAATACACCGGTGAATCGAATTCTCATTACACATCCTCACCTCCGACTCATGAGCGCATGTAAAAAAATGTTAAGCACCCAGAATTTTGACTAGTTTCATTTAAAACAGCGTTGTGAATTCTTAGACTCGGACCAGATCAAATCTTTCGTATCCTCTTAGCCAATCCGTGTCTTGATGTGCAGTATGGTGTAAAAAACAGCGCGTAAACTGGAACCGGAGCCAAAACAGCCAATTGACATATTGGTGGGCCCACGGCTATTCAGAGTTTATGGTTTTTCTGGGTTTTATACGGTCCTTAACAGACTAATGTGTGCATGACTGTGTGGAGTTTATGGAGCCGCGACTTCTTCTGGGCCATGAAAACGAGTTTTACGAGCCCTGGAGAGAGGTGTGAAGCAAGCGTGCCCAGGTCTACTACCGAGACGGGATACGCGGGTGCCCATTAAAAGGACACACAGAAAACCCAAGAACACGCCCGTTTGACCCCTGAAGTTGAAAAAAAAAACTTCGGCGCACATGAGCAGACGATCCTCCACCCGGGTGGTCCTTAAACCAGTCCCAACACGTACATAGCTTTAAAAGATGGAGGCGGGGCATAAGTTTTACCAAATTGCGTTAGTAACCGCTTAAGCGATTCCCGAGAATGTGTGAAAACATCGGCAAGTGCTAGTACGCTTCATGATTTAACGCCGGGTTAACCAACAATCTGATGCCGATGAAGGCCGAGTTCCTGAGTGGCAGCCACAGCCTTCACGGCTCCGTGATTGCCAACTGTACCAGCTTGGACACTGCACCACGAGCCTTAATGCAGAAACCTAAAAGGCATCCTGACCAAATATGCTTATTTAACTAAACCAACTAACCATTAGCACAACTGCAGATCTAGATGTCTTCGAGGCTAGACGCAGATCCCCCAAAACTACATCGAGTTACGTAATTTGCCGCTGGTTTCGATTTGAAGGATAATGGTTGCATGTAAGTTTATCTAAAAGTCAACATGTCTACAAAGCAAACCCATTAAAAGGAATATGAAACCCAGGTTAATGAGTGTTGTTCAGAGTGACGGGCTGGGAGCGGACTTTTGTTTGACGGAGCGGCGCGCGTGGCTGGTGAGGATCACCAGCAAACCTGCGGAGACGCGGCCAGTCACTTCGGCCCTGTCAACCTCGTGGAACCACGGCACTGTGCCCCACCGTTTTTCCTACAACATGAGAAGGCCACACTCAGTCTAGTCAAACAACCAAGTCTTTCCTCTTCAGCACTTAATCCAAGCAACAACTGAGAGGTTTACTTTCAACTACTGCCGATTTCGGGCCTACGTTTGGTCAACGAGAAAAAGACGAATTGATAAATGTGAACATATTTAGTGAGTGATAATACTAATCTAAGAGACGCAAATGCACATTTCAGGATCACCGGAGGTCTAAAAGAAATCTCGTGCAATGGTTATCGCCGCCCCTGAGCTCGAACAAGACTAAGGGGTCACTCACGTCGATCGCACTATCAACACTGCGTTTAGCAGTTAAGGAAGGAGTCGCAAAGCGTTCGCCATTGTGAAAATAAAAAACCATCGATTTCCGGTGGCAGTTCCCGCTCATAATTTGGGCTGGAATGTCTTGCGAAGCCAGCTATCCCATCACCAGAGGCGAAGTTAAAACTTTTTCTAAATGCATCGCAAAGAACACGTGATAGCGTGGTAATGCGTCAGAGTAGGCGATTTGTAGAAAAATTTACGCTTAACAACGCGAGTTGGAAGTCACGCAACACGAAAACTAGTAGACGCCAGTACGAAGAAAAGTGGATCTCAGAATGTCCACGTTTTCCATGGGAATTCGGCCCTTATTGCCACAGATTGACCTGAATTTCAGAACAGGTGTGTTGTAAAAGCAACACACAGTAAACAAATGAAAGTGTACTTTTAGTGAAAATAATGAAACAGGAGTGTAATTTCACACGAAACAGAAGGCGGACGATGAGAAATATGCGGAAATGGCTTAATTAAAACGAATCAAGAAGCTGCATTAAGCGGTTTACTGAGCACGCCGTATGCTCCTAATTTGAGGGCATAACCAAATGATATTCGCAAGTAAAAGGCACAAAACACAATCGAATCTTCGAGTTCACATTCTAATCGTACAGTGGAATGTGACTACTAAAAAAGATATTCAACTGTAGATGGGACTCCAGCACATTTATGAGAACACGGGTACGAGTCAGATCAACACACAAAACAGACGATTACCAAAAGTATTACGGCAATAATCCAAGCTCCAACGTCTGCATGACAGTTCAAGGTACTGGAAAAACGAAGGGTTTGTGTGCATGCATGCCTTAAACCAACGAAATTTCACGGTTATCCCGTTCGCTTAGTCCGGAGCCAGAAAATAACAGGCCACATTTACCGAAAATTAACAAAAGAAAGGTTAGCAGTAACATGGTTGTGTTTACAGCCCCGTGAATAGTTGACAGGAAGACTAGCTTCGGGAGGTGTTCGTGTTTAAGGAAACCACAGCGAATGTTTCAGCGTGCCACGGAGGAAAATCGCCAAATACGGCAGGCCACAGCCGCTGTGATTTACGCGAACGACCGATTACAAGTGCCATTAATGGACGACATCGATTTGGCTGGCGGAAGGTACACTACATCCTCGGTCGCAGCTAACCGGTACCATCTCGGTAATATTAAAGTGTTTTTTTTGAATTCCGTAGCCTGTTTACCTTTGTCATCCACTTAGGATATTAATCATGCCTGCTTAGCCGACTCGTCCTTAAAAGTTAACTGCCCGGTTCTACCTAAGAGCTTTTACAAAAACTCACTTCGTCGATTCTACACTGGCTGAAGCAGGGGCCTTGTTTGATTGTCTTTCATTTGGCCGCAAAAACTTCCAAGTTCCCAAAAAAAACACCACAAGAAAAACGTTTACATTAAACAGTTTTACAGGGGTAGACTGATAGGAATGATGGTGACAGTGGGGGAAAGCCCCAATCGGGCAACCGTGAACAGCTTTACGGGTTTCTACAAACTTCCACATATCTAAGGATCGACAAAATACTCCCTTGTGGGCGTTGGTACACGATTAAATAGGTTTTTGGAAGCCATACAACTCGGTTGGTTCAACCGACATGAAGACCGACGACATGTTGTAGTTTGAACACAACATTAGCGGACTGATACACTGTTTAAGCATCTCACGTAGTTAGAAAAAGACCATTCCGACTCCCAGTAATATGCAAGTGTCTAACTTACAAGACGTTTGTATGTAACATTTAATTAGAGGCGTGAAAACCGCTTCAAGACACTACTTTCAGGACACACCTACGGAAAAAAACAGTTGCGGTGACATCCAATCGAGAACTAGACAAGCAAGTCCCAAATAGTCCATTTTGTGAATAACACACACACAGGCACACACACACAAATGGTTACAAATCCATCAATTGCCCATGGCCATGGTTGTAGTAAAAAACGCGCCCCAACACGTCACTTCCCATAGGTTGAAGTTGCCAATTTAAAGTAAATGCTTCAGATAACGTCGGTAATGCGAGGGATGTCCTCTTGGAGCGATAAATACACATTTATTTGCGTTCTACAAGTTTTAAAGCATATGCGGGTAGCCCGCATAGTAACCGATTTCACAGTCTTGACATGGTGAGATGCACTTGGCGGGAGCGGAATCGACGTGACTCTCGTGACGCGATTCCTTCCTCGTTCTCAGCCACTTTGACATCCCTGAACTCCGGGGATGTCAGCAACGGCTGAAGAGTTGATATCTCGACCAACACCGAAAGTCACTTGGGTCTCCGAGACTGGTGTATAAAGTGTTAACGACATGTCAGGGTGAGTGCAACATCCGCATGAAAGTGTGGCGAGCAAAGGGGAACCACTTGTTAATCCGATGGACAAAGGGAAGGTAAGCAGACGTTTTAAGTGCATCAACGAAGAGTAAAGAAACAGTAAAGAAGCCAGTTAAAGGCGAACAAGGCATGGAGCTTATGTACTGTGAGGTGGATGGGGGCTGCAAGGCATTCTGAAAGAGTACCAGTCCAGCCATGATTCTGCGAACACCAGTTGGGAAGTAATACCCCCACTCTGAAGCGGATGCTACGCGGCCACAAATATACAAACGCCAGTACATGCATCTGAATTTGCTAGTCCCGGACACTGGAAAAACTGGCACCACACGCGAAGGTCGCTAACTGTCGGCTGAGAGTGCAGTGGCTTGGGCTAAAGGGTGCGTCGTTGCATCAACATAAAGGAGCACAGCAGCACTTCAACTTCGTGTGTGCTGAGTCGCACAAGGAACCGCGAAGCAGAGGTGAGGGTGAAACCGGATTCGATAATAAATACCCCATCTTCTGACCAAGGATCCGAGAACCCAGCATGGTGCATTTTTCTAGGTGGGTGTTCAAACTGGAAGATTAGATACTGCACAGTTGCTGCATGTACCAATTTGATGCAAAAGCTTTGTGCACTTCCATTGTTTCAGAGAGGCTTTACCAAAATCTTGTCTCCAAAATCATGAACAAGCATTGAGTGAATCAGTAATGGACTATATATCACCTCCTTTAAGTCTTTAAACTTAGCCCAAGTTTGTAAATTCATCCTTTGCACGTACTACGCCACTTCGCTTCAAAGAATGTCGGCGGTAACTAATGCCTTCTTCCGTAGGATCAATGTTTTGCCATTCAAATTAGTTTTGGAGGAAGGAATAAGATATTTAAAAAAATTGAAGAGAGGATGACGAAGAAATACGGCAGGTACTACTAGAGAATTTCCTCGTTTCAACTCCCTAGGCGCCTTCAGTTGCTCTTGGGAGTTGAGTCGCCTTTTCGACTGATTACATTTAGACGTGCTGCTTGGAGTTCAACTTTGAGTTCAGTGATTTGCTCCTTTACCGTGCTCCTCTACAACGGAAGGTCGTGGAAGCTGATTCCTCTGCAATCAAGCCACCTTAGATTCTGCTCTTTCACTACCATGCTTCCAGCTTCCTTCTCTTAATCTTTTGTTTTACACAGACCCTACTTTTCGTCGCTAGCCACGACTTCATCCATGAAAAGTTTGTTTTGTTGACGAACGAGTGGAGAAATAGCTATGGAAACAGGCTTCAATGCGTTCAGTTATGCTAAGATATGCGAAACACAGACATCCCGTCTCGAGGTATACTAAAGCTGCTTTAAACGGTAAAATGCACCCGAATTGTCAACACTTAAATTCTCTGCAATCCCTTCACTTGTAATCCGTGGGTTATTATTCGTTAAGTGACAGATAGGTGTTTGTAGGTAGTCCAGAGCGAAGTCTACGCCCAGATTGAAACCACAATTTCGAAATTGACTGTATCACATTCTAACTGTCCTAAGAATTGGGGCACTACCCAAAAAAGGTCTCAAATATACCTTTTTTGAAGTTCCACCACTTCCGCCTGTTTTGACTCACATAACATGACATATAGGAATAGTAAACTTTCATTTTCTTTTTTCAAATACTAAAGATGGGCACAAATTAGTTAAAAGAAAACATGGTAAGGCTGTGTTGACAAACAACGCATCACAAGCAAAATTGCTGGCTGCTTAAGCCACCAATGGAAATCACGCACGAGCTTTAGCAACCACCCAATGGTTTCTCAATCATAACTGTATTTTTCACAAAAAATCATGCTAGCGAACGCAACTTCTACACCAACCAGGTGGTGGGTTGTGGCTGACATTCGGGCCTTTATGCTAATACAGGGACACCAAGAAACGGGATGAAACTGGGCGTGAGGACGACCGTTTATTCAAAAGGCACAACAAGAAGTTGTCACGGACTTTCAAGCGGTCTATGAATGTGATCCTGCGTTGCCGATAGTACTCGAAAGACTGGATGTCTATTTCCCAGAATCAAGACTAGAAAATTGAGTGCAAGAAAAAAGTGTGTTGCGATACTTGCCTGGAAGGACTGTTCCAACAGGGAGAGCGCAACGGCACGCTCCGCGGACAGGAAGTCGTCCACCATTGCCAAGGTCAGCCAGAGCGACTTGAGGTTCTCAACACAAGACTGGAAGCCTGCAAGTGAATGCGTAGAAAAAATAACTTGGTCGATGTTTCGCTTAGCCTAGGTAATCTGATTCCTAGGTTAAAGGGCCGCCCGCGAGGTCATGAAAAGCCTCTGGGACTAGTCTAACCACAAATGGACCGACGATAGTTCAGTGACAAGCATTTCAATTTGTGGCAATTTGGGAGACCCCTAAACACGCCTAGGAAAACGCACAGCGCGTCTTTCTTGAAATAGTAAGTGACGCCGTACAAGAGAAATTCTTTATTGTGCGTACCAAACCGTCCCGCTTAAGAACCGTGTGGAAGTTTATGCATTGGCTTAAGTTAGTTTGCACACCACACCAACCACAAATGTGATCGAACAATCAGCCTGAAAAGGGCACCACAAGGTGGTAATTGTGGGGGCATTCCGGTGGAGCCGGCCAAAAGTGGCGTAGAAGTGAACTGTGTGGGAGGTGGAGGGGGGGGAGGGCGG